GAGTCTGTCACACGCCGTTCTCCTCCCACCCCGTCGTCGTCGCCGCCGCCGCCGCGCTCGAGCTCCGGGCCCCTCCGCTCCGCTGGGCAATAACGTTATTCCACACACGCCCCACACATAGCGGTAACGGCGAAGAGCGGCCGCTCAGTGCGCAGGCGCCTCGGGAAAGGGCGAGGAGCCGGGCCCTATCCCCCTCCTCCTGCCCAGTCCCGTCGATCACTTACTGCGCAGGCGCCAAACACAGACAATGAAAAGGGGTTGTGCGGAGGGTCTCGCCCGCTCGTTCGCTCGCTCGCTCTTCCAGCTGCCCACTGCGCAGGCGTGTCTCCAAAGATCAGCTCGAACAATGAAGAGGACCCTGTGATTAGCTGGGACCGCAAACAACGAGGACTACTGTTCCCAGCGGGCAGCGCGCCAGTTTCAAGTGGAGGTCGGGCTGCTGGACATGCTAGAAGTTGTACTGTCGGCTGCCTCCACAGTCTAGGCTGTGTGGAGGAATTAGAGCTTCTTTTTCGAAAAAATTCACTTGACCGTTTTGACAAATATCGCAACTGAAACAGGAGTCAGAGATTGTTATTTGCGTCCTTGAGAAACCTCAGAGGTTAACTGCACGTTAGCACATTTCAAAGCGTCAAGGCCTTCAGTGAGCCCTTTCTGTCAGTGGGGTGGTCCAGACCGTGGAGGGATGGGATGAAGGCGGACTGAACACACTGGGCGGGAGGAAGAGGGCGGAACTTCCAAGCTTGTCTCTTGGCAACCGGCTCCGGCAGCCAAACCGCCGAGGCGAGCGCCTGGGACGCGGTGCCCTCTGGGAGTTGTAGTGTAGCGGGAAGGCGCTGTGGTTTACCAGGCTGGCAGGCCCTAAGCCTGCGGACTACAACTCCCAACGTGCATCACGAGGGCCGGCGGGTTGGAAGAGCCCCCAGGAGCTCAGAACCGGGTTCCACGCTCCCCTGTGACAGCAGCGGCAGGAAGCAGGCGGGCGCTACCCAGGCCATAGGCCTTGTTGTTCTCGGAGGGGCGAGCACGGGACATTTCCTCACGTAATTCCCATTTCTGGGCCCAGAGTCTGTGCATGGCGACGTGCCAGGGGGACTCTACCCTGGAGGAGATTCTGGGGCAATATCAACGGAGTCTCCGGGGTGAGTGGCTCCGAACCTCTGTGCCTCTGCCCTGGGTATCCACGGCCTAGTGGTTGGAGCAAACCAGGTGCATTGGCTAACACCTCGGTTCGGCCCCAGCTAGGCTGCGGAGGGTGTTGCTGCGATCTTTAGAGAGGATGAGATAGTTTGATTTTGTTTTTAAGGTTAAGCAGCGTTGTTTCCTTAGAGTCCCATAGTTCCCTGAACCATCTCCCTGATCTTAACTTAGGCATCTTTCTCAACCAGCACCAGCAGAAACTTTTGGACTGCTGTATGCCACTTTTGACCAGTTCCCATACTTTCCTGTTTAATGCAATAAATTCCTGATTCACACTTTTTTCACATTCAAATCATGGCATAATGAATGCAATGTGATTTATAGGACGGAGAGAAGGGAGGAACTAATAATTATTTTAATCACAGCAGCTTCTATTTATTGATCTCGGCTGTTTACATACGGTAAATTATTTACAACTTAAAACCAATTTTATGAATATCCCTACTTTACACAGTGGGATATCGAAGCTCAGAGAAGTTAAGTTATAGGACAAAACCCACACAGCTGGTTAGTAGCAGAGCCCAGTATTAAATTCAGGCCTGTCTCCCTTCAAAGCCTATGTTTTTCTTTATTGATCAAGTCATAATTACTATTATTGAAACCTTATTTAGTTAATTCAGTTTTTCTTAATATATTACTCTGTGAGTGATTTTCTGTGGAAATGATGTCTGTACTTGCAGATGGCCCTTTCATCTTGGACAACATATATAACTTCTAGAAATCTCAGTTCTGTTATATTGCAGTGTGGAAGTTATGGCATTGTCTACAAGTTTATTGTGAGGAGCAAATGAAATAATCCATATAAAGCAGTGATTTTCAGACTTTTTAAAAATATTACCCATAGAAGTACATTTTATATGGGACATATACACTAAAAGAAAAGTTTCACTAAAGAATTTTTATTCTACTTTTCGGTTGTATTTTCATAATCCTCCAGGTCATGACCAACAGTTTAAAAATTGTTTAAAATATTTAGAACACTAATTTATTCAGCAAATATTAATTCAGTGCCTACTATGTGTTAGGCATACAAGGTGCTGGGGATACAATAAGGAACAAGACAAAGTCCCTGTCCCCTTGGAGCCTCTGGATTATGGGGGAGAAAGACAATAAATAAATAAAATAATTAAAAATTACTCTGTTAGAAAATAAGGGTAAAGGTCATTACTTGGCACATAGCACTCACTTAAATGTTAGCTGCTATTTATACGTGGTACTTGGAGCAAAGTGAAGATTTGAGATTAGAAAGTTTATCTTTTCATGACTTTAGACTTTGTAAGGTTTGTTCATTATCTACAATACTATTATGAACTGTCACCATTCTCAGTATTCAAACTGCAGGAATAAAGAATTGGTCTTAAAGAAATACGTTCACTAGCTGTTACATACAGAAATAACCATTTCTAACTTTTCATTTGGAAGCAAGAAAAATATTCTATGCAATGATAAGAGTGATTTTGTTTAATTTTTGAGATTGGCAAGAATTTGTTGTTTTCCATTATATGTTTATATTTCTCCTAACGCTTCTTTGACCTTATTTTGAGCCTTTGTGTAAACATTGGAGGCTATGTAGTATTAGGCATTTTGATGCAGTAAAAGGGTTAATTTCAAGCTGATTTTGTAGAAATATGTTTAACACCAGGGATACTGCTTTCAGTAATTATAGAATGAAAAGTTTTCATTCTAAGCAAATTTATTTTAAAATGAGTTTAAAATAAAATTTAAATTCAGTGTGATAACAATATAAGGTAGTGAAAACATTTCACTAAGGACAATCAAAGGGGGTAGAAAAAAGTTAAACTATGGTTAAAAAGTTTTTAGTCACAATTGCAACAATGAATCAAAAAAA